TCATTAGAATGATTTTCCATTAATAAGACAATGCGTGGTAGCTTTTAAGTTACTCTAAAATAATTTAATTATAGATTCTGTTGTCATAGTTTCCTGGGCCCCATCAATACCGATGAGAAGGCTGGAGATGTGGTTATCTCTTCAATGATCTTACATGACTAAACATCTCTGATTCTCTGAGGACAGCGCAATTGTATTTCCTCTTTGGATATTGGTAGTTGCACAGTACGGGTTAAAGAAAACCATTCAGTATGAGAGAGGGGGCAATTTGTATGTGTAATCAGCTTTGTAAATAACAACCGTTTTTTAAACAATGGTTTTATTAAGTTTTCTTTTCAAAGAAAAACAAGAATACAGAACAAAAAGCAACTACACAAACCTAGAGCACACCCCAAACCTATGCCACCCCTGGTAGACTTCAGGAATATTAAAAAAAAATAAAACACAAACACAGAATCTAGAAAAAAATAAGAAATAAAAAAATAAATACACAAACAAACAAATATCACAATATAAAAAGCACCATGTCACATATTCACAGTCTTAATATGAGATCCATGTATACGAGAGGCTGAGAGTTTCATCGATGTAATGGCCAAAAAAGACACAGTCCACATTTGTCTGTCCATTGCATGAGATGGATTCTGTTGGTCAGGAATTTTTTTTTTTTTTGAGAGAGAGCAGCTAACAGTAAACATTTTTGTTAAATGGATGATGAACAGGGCCGGCCCGTCGCATAGGAAAAATAGGCAAATGCTAGGGGCGCCGTCCATCCATTGGGGCACCCACAAAAGTTACGTTTTTATTTATTTTATTTTTTATAATATTATTTTTAATTGCACTATATATCGACATATAATTGATATCGAATTATGGCTTAATGCCATAGTCATATCGCGAAGGCTGTGATTAAATTAAATAAAAATAGCTATGCATTGCAGTTTTCTGAGTAAAGCGGTAATGTGTTCGAGTGCAGCCCATGACATGCAGCACTTCACTCTGAAACATGCAGCGCATTTATTTATTTGCTGGCAAACCACCAAAATAAAAGCAGTTTATTATTTGAATTTGAGCAGAGATGCACCGATCGACTATCGGCCATAAATCGGAAACGGACGTTTTTTTGTTTTATTTCAAAGTCTGTAAACGGCGTTTACAGAGGCCAGAGATGCAAAGAGGAGAAACTACATTAGCAGGCAGAGCAAGCTCACTGTTCACGAAGTATGAATGTATCTCTGAGGGGAACTGACTGTCTTAAGAAACCGTTTAGATGGCATTTTCCTTTCATCTTGCCTCTGTATAATGCATTTAGTGTTTACAGTGGTAATCAAGGAAACAATGCATCACTGCTGTTCCTTAAGCGCCACCTGCTGACAGAGAGTGAATTTGCATTTTCATTCAGCCCATCTGCTGTTTGGTATGTTTTATTTTCACAAAGCTAAAGTCAGGCCATTCTGTTTTTGCTTCAGGTTTTGAAATTATACAGTCTAATTTAGATAAAAAAATATAGGCTAATAAAGCAACTAACCATATTCTTAATTATTTCTTGTCTTTTGCTCTAATTTAGTTCTCTAATTTAAAGCTGCGATGCAAGGGGCACCAGCTAAAATCTTGCCTAGGGCACCAAATTGGTTAGGGCCAGCCTTGATGATGAACATCCCAAAAATCATTCAAACAGAAGTAGTGTGGAGTCAAACATATATCAGTGCCCAACACATACTGTATGACAAGTGCTGTGAGAGCTGGGTCTAAAAAGGGGAGAGAGAGGGGAACTCCCAAGAAGTGCAAGTAAATGCCCTGAGATCCTTGAGAACATAAATTGCACTTATTAAATAAATACTGTTTTAAAGTCGAACCTGAGTAATGGGTCATGAGGTGCTAAAGAGCCTGAAAATAAAATAGTTTTCATTTCATGTGAATTTGAGAAGAGGGGAAGATCCATAATGATACTATTATTATTATTATTTTTTTTTTAGGTTTAATGTATTATCTCATAATATCAGTGGTTCTCAACAGGAAGCTGCAGGCCACTTGGGGGCATCAGTATACTTAAAATGTAAAATAAATCATACAGTTATTTTAATAAAACACTTAAAATTTTAAAATAGCTAGAGTGATGATATAGGGCAACATAAATAATAATAATATATTTAAAAAAAACAACAACAGAAAAACAGGAATTTTAAATGCAGCACTGAGCTTTTAAATTAATGAATTCCATAGGTTTATTTCAGCATTTGAACTTGGCAAATAAAACAGACAAATTCAGCTTCTTAACAGCAGATGTTGGTGTGCACTGACAAAATCAGTGGTCTTTTTTTTTTTTTTTTTACTCTTAGTCTTCATGATGTTTCCTTTAACATTATAAGGTAGTTGAGTAGAGTGATCTATCTATCGTGTGTTTATATTTTTGACATGTAAACAGTACTTGCCAAAAGTTTATAGACTATGATTTTTAAATGTTTTTAATTAAGTTTTTGCTAATTATAATAATATTTCATAATATTACTGTTTTACTGTCGGTTATGATCAAATAAATGCAGCCTTGGTGAGCATGAGACTTTATTAAAACATTTACAAATTATAATTCTTCAAAACCTTTGACAAGTACTGTATCTATATAAAAGTGATAAGGACAGTGTTTTCTTTTCCCGTCCAATGGAAAGCACTCGAGCGGCACACTGTTGCTGTGGTTGGTTGCCTCCTCAGGCCAACACGACTTTCGATCGCTGACGTCTATTTAGCGCACTCTGACAAACTTATAATGTAAGTTTTGTGAGTAATGAAACATTATTTTAAGAAGTGATAATATGTATTACCTATTTGTAGTGGTGGACGAAGTACAAAAATCAAGTGCTTAAGTAAAAGTACAGATGCATATAATAAAATATTACTCCAGTAAAAGTAAAAGTACTCCTTTTTAATGTTCACTGTGAAGCTTACACTGCGATGTACCTGAGAGAAAACAGTTTTCACCAGTAAGAAAAAAGTGTTTTAAAGCTTGTTGTTTTGCAGAACATCACAGTTATATATGACATGAGAATAGGGCCTGAAGTTAGGAAGAACATTTTAAGCAAAATATAATGCTATTTTCATAATGATTGTTTTCTTCTCAAACCTTGTCTGTGGTGTAAAAACACCCCTGGCCAAATGCCCCCAGAGGGCATCACTTCCCACTATGATAATAACTAGGTACCATGTTCTGAACATCACATCCTTTCCTTCCCCCCATATGTAATCTATCTAGGTGGTTGAATAAAAATATTTGGACTTTATATCTAAAAATTACCTCAACTTAGCACCAGCAAGCTTGTTAGCTCGACAGTTAGCATCAGCTAACAATATTTACTTATTTTCAGTATGGTTATGA